TTTACGCCACCTCTAATGTGTGCAGCCCTCTCGTTGAGGTGCTAGAGGGGGTATTGTCGGTATTCTTGCGACGTGTTCGAAATGCGAAAATCTTCGAGAACGCACAGACCGCCCCGATGACTAATAGGGAGACTACCAAACGAAACTAAAAACAATTAAAAACACCAAATAAAACAACAAAAATCAAAAATCCTATATCTAAACGCCGAGACAGCCTGATCCCGCTGTGGCACCATATCCAACCGCCAGGACAGTCTTTGCCTACTGTGGCACAAAATTCAAAAACGCTATAACAGTTTTCTGGTCTGTAATAGCAAAATAAGTCGAAACGCTAAGACAGTCTTCGCCTACTGTGGCACCAAATCCAAACGCTGATACAGAGACTGGTTACCTCTGTAGAAGCACCAAGTCGAAACGCCAAGACAGCTGCTACTCGCTGGGCACTAAGTCGAAACGAGAGAGTTACTCACTAAAACTTGAGATGAAGACTCATTAAAAATGAACGAGAGAGTTACTTATTAAAACTACCTAAGTCGAAACTTTTTCTTTTTATCCCTAAAAGAGCCCGCTGGAGGATTGCTTTGCTTTCTAACATCTCTTTCTGTTATCAAAATGCTCTTTAGCACTAGGCGTCTAGTAAGCGATAGCTATCGCTTACCTAGACAAAGGCCGAAGCACCACAGACACACTTCAAGCACAAACTCGTATTTGTAAATAAATCTAGTTAGAACGGCCTCAGCCAAAGTCTTACATAGCCTCGAGCTCACTAGACTCTAATGGAACAACAATAATAATAATAGTATTTTAGCCCAAGAAATAAGTTGAGATAAGAGAAACATAAGGGCGTGCATTAGAAAATTTACTACATACCCCCTAACTGGCGCCCCTAGATTAGCGTCTAGTATTTATCTACTATAGTGGTATTCTTTCACGTTATAGCAGTTTACTAAGAACCGCTCGCGCCTGGCGTAACCCTAACTTAGGGTTGACTTAGGGTAAAGCCCTAAGCGTAGTCCTAAGCGCAACTGGCAGCGTAACCCTAAGTTAGCACGGGCCATACCTACGAACACCAACTCTCTCCCTTGTTTTATCTAATAGCTCACGCTATATAGGTCGCATAATAATAAAATATAGTGCATTGAACGCGCATAAGCTTCCTACATCTAACGTGAAAGTTGCATCTATTTTAAACATTGTCTGCACGGTATTTGCTACTGCGAACGGGTGGGTAGATGGACAGGGGTAAAACGCGCTATCCGACCATAATTCCGTTTGGACCATAATTCCATCTGGCATATTGTGTAGGCACCTTGCAGGCGGAAGGCCATGTCATGTCCGTATCGAAGTTTATGCCGTACCAAGAGGCAGATAACTTAGATTCATGCAGCGATTTGCATTCTTTCCTAGCAAACCAGACCCAATCACGCGAGGCACGATGCTCGAGGTGGCAATGGCTATTTCGTCTCTCTGCTTATCCATGTGGTCGATTGGTTCGACCATGTTGAGGCGCAGCGCAACTAAGCGCACGGACTGCTACTAGGGCCGGAACTCTCGGGCCGGCGTCGTCACCCAGCGCCAGTGCCCAACCCCCTCCATTCTTCCCCTTATTTACAACCACGTACACCCAATCTCCATATCCACCACTTGAATTTTTATCCGCATCACTTCTATCTACATAGCTCGTCACCTTCCAAACTCCGCCCCCTTTACGCGAACGCACGTTGGCTATCGTCACGACCCAAATCACTGTCCTTCTCACCTGCATGTCGCCTTGCCTCAGTACGCCATCCTCACTGTAGGGCCTTTGACGCATCGGACCGGCTTCGCAATCCAGCGTTTCCGATTCGCGCGTCTTGGGGGCGATACTCCAGCAAGGCACAGGCTGTGTGACCAAGGCGGGGTTTAGCGGTCTACGATCTGCCGATTGCTGCTGTGACAGAGTCAGGGCTGCTCTTTACCATCGACGCGAAGCCCGGGTGGGAGGGTTTCCTTTGCCGTTGCATGTCGTCTGCTTCGCTGCAAAGGGGCACATTTTGTTAAGTAGATGTATTCGGTAGCAGCAACTAACACATAATGGTAAAAACTGTTCTTCGCAAGACCGGCGTTGACGTCTTGGTGTATCCTGCACATGATGCATCCGCGCAGTGGCTTTGCTCACTAAAGATTTTGCGTTCGAATCTGCAGTTAACTTTCTCTCTTCAACATATTCGTTCCGTCAGCAATGAACGCGAGATTCCATATGTTACTCTTCGCTATGAGGGCGACAATCTTGTGCCTGGCAGCATGTCGCTCAAGGATCTTGACATCAATGTTTCCCCTGGGTCTTTATCCAAAATTACACGGCAAGGAGCCCCTGAATTTCAAACATTGTTCATCACCCTAAAACAACCTTGTTCAGTATGGTACCAAGAACAGGATCTCAACATCGACATGAACTTCCGGAGACTCTTAACACTGGCACGGGCGACACAAGTATGCATATGTTTCGACACTCAGTGGCTTGCAGAGAACGCCGCAATGTTCCAGGAGATTATCCAAATCTCTGAGCAGTTTGCTCGGCTTCCGCCAACCACACGTTTTACCCAGATTAACACAAAAGCATCCTGGTCATTTCTTGCCTTTATCCCGGCTGTCGAGCCCAGAGCTCGTGTTTCCAGCGAAGAGCCGGGTTCTGGGATTGTATCTTCCATCGAGGATACGGGACCTGAAGCACCTCCCTTCGAAGACGTGGAATATGATAACCCCCCTCCGTATGTGAACGTGTCATATGCGCAGGTGTCGGTTAAACGTTCGAGGCGCAGTGAGTGTTCTAGTTAGATGCTGTATCGAGATGTGACTGACGTGCATTGCCTAGCTGACTCTAGTTTAACACCTGATGCTCATGATCCGAAGCGCCCTCGAGAACATTCGTGCCCGTCTCCAGAAACAGAACGCGCTACTCCTGCGCCATCGCTCCACGCTGAGTCAACCGCTTCGTCTTCTGCCACTGTTGCAGTGGATCTTTTTCAAGAAGCTGTCACTTCGGCCGTCAATGAATTACTCCCACACGTGCTAGAGAAGGAGCTTTTGGAGAAGGAGCTGCTGAGAGAGGAGTTGTGGAAGAAGAAGATGACACCAGTGGTTATGGAAGTGCTCCCGCAGGTGTTAAAGGAGCTTCTTCAGACAACGTCTGCTGGCCACGATGATTCGACCCACCATCCTACGCTTAGCACAGAAGTCGAGAGGGCTTTTACATCCGCTCACGAATCCTGCGTTCAAGAATTGGAGGAAACCCTTGATCAACGCGTCAACTCTGCTAGCATCGAATTAGAGGAGCATAGTGATGAGATAAGAGTTGACTTGGCAACTTATAAAGAAGATTGTATCGCTAGTTGCAACGACCACCTTAATGAAATAAAAGCAGGGTTCGATCAGGGTGTAGTGGAACGCGTTAAGGATTTGGAAAATATTGCTGATATGGTAGTGCTCAAAGCTATGGATCGCTTGAACGAGCATTTCGACCATATTGGCACTCAAACGGTGCGTAAACGTGGGGACGTCCTTATTGCGTCAGAGCAAAGTCAGAGGGCGAGGTCTCTGCCCGTTCCGGACGGGTCATGAATTCGAAAGGCACTGTGTTGCTGGCCAACGGTGCATTCTCTTTGTTGGTTTCACGGCTTGGACGCAGCAACGTATGGCATTATATTTACCCTATGATCAGAGCCAAGTACTTGGTTGGATCCCTTGCTTAGGCATGGTTTGTGATGACCTGCTCTGCTCCTAGAGCTTTTATCCCATGAGGATTGGCCAGGGTGCACACACATACCCATCTTTGATGTACTGGCGCAAGCTCAGGGGGACTTTTTCAGTCCCTCACGACGCCAGCCCTGATGATCGAGAAGCCTACGCACTAGCAACGAGAGCAGAAACCATGACTGAGCAAGTCGTTCTCTGCGCAACCTTTTTGTGTGGTTGTGACTGCAACTAAGGTGAGTTATAGGGAGTGTTCAATGAACTAACTAACCTTCCTCCCCATGTAGCGGAAAGCCCGGTGGGCCGAAACTGGCCAATAAGAGCGCAACGCCAGCAGCCATTTCCAAGAGATGCTGCATCCCATTGGCTCATTCCGGCCCACCAGGATTTCCGTCATACAGGTAGGGATGGACGTTAGTTATGCACTGTCTTTGTTCACACACAGCCAACCCCGTGCATAGGTCTCTGGATCTGTCTTCATCCCAATGAAGGGCTTGCGGGGATAGAATGGGATGCTTACTTAAACCACTTGGGATGCTATGTTCTCATGTGGTGACGAATGCATGGCAGCATGGATGACTCGTCTTGACTTCATGGCACCAATATGTAACTACTGTGTGTATTCAACTTGGACGTCAATCATGTTGTATATAGAGCTCGTCTCTCCGTCTTGCCCTGTCATCCTCGTTAGGCCCCTAGGTTGGCCCATCCCTGCGTTATCCGACAGCGTTATCCGATGCCGCAAGCGAAAAGCACGAGGAACACAATGGGAACTTGGACCATTTCAACCCACGCATATGCATAAAACGGTCAAGCGCTCCCTTAACACTTTCAAGCTGCGAGCTTCGTGCAACAATAAGAGAGACTGCAAGAGTCGTTTCTAGTCCCCTACTATGCTCCGACACCCTCTGGGGCCTATATTGGGATGCACTTGGGGTTAAGTCAGCCCTAACGCTAAGCTTATTCGGGCGCTGTTTGGGGGGGTCAAATTTCGCGGTTCGGGGGGTGCAAAATGGCCCAATATAGCACAAACCCCTGACGCTAAGCCTAACAGAGTTTAATTTTGGAATGGGGGGCATTCCAGAACGGAATACCTGAGTAAAAAGCAACCCTAATCCTAACCCAGATTCTCCTTATCATAGAGCTTCACAAAGTGCGGCTCTTCGCGACAGAATTTTTCTATTGCGTCACAGAGCTGTGCGTCTGTCGCTCCTTCAGCGTCGCGTATAGTATACGCCATGTCGCCCTTGACCCTGTTATTTTTTATGTTCTTGGACATAAGCCTAAGGGTCCCTTTGTGCATTCTGAATACCATCACTCCATCTTGTTTGTAGTTCTCTGTTGATTTACTCAACTCAAGGCCCAGAGCTATCGCAGATCCGTGCACCCAATGCACAGAAGGACGTCCTCTGTCCAGAGTGGGATAGTAGCATAGGAAATGGTTGTTCGTTCTCAAGGAGCTTTTCAAATCAGCAAGGATGGTGCCGTATTTCCCTAAGCCTTGATCCAAGACCACAGCGTAATTCGGATTCATCTCGTAATCTGGCGAAGTAGTTCCTCCGAGTTAGTAGTACTAGGTGGGTAGTACAACTCGCGTTATGATAATTACCCAAGGAAGGAAGCAGGCCTAAACAACTAGTCGAGCATGTATTTCTGATCCTAATCTGTTCATCATACAGAGATGTAGGCGATGACCAACAATGAGGATTAGCAAAAGTGCAATGTCGATCATTCCGCTTACGCTTATGCTTATGCTCATGCGCATTATATTGAACGAATCTGGATTTTCAGTCTCTGGACTTCTACGGCAAGACACAAGACTTCTGACGCTGCTCAGCGTGGGCGATCAGCATGGATAGGTCAGCGTAGGAATCTCGTGAATGCCTTGGGAGCATGATTCACAGCGCAAAGCGTTGAGGTTGAATGTATGTACAGCAGGCTACGTACTTTAGGCTGCTTATCGTCCACCGATGTAGCAAGACGATCTTTCCCCTCTTTCATCGTCGCCACCTTTTTGCGGCGTTGTGATGTTATGCCACGATTCTGGAATGCTGGCAATCCTGATTATGCTTACAGCCAGTAAGCAGAGAGAGAAATATGCAGTTTGAAACGTTGCCTCGTAAGCCTTCTAACCACGCCGTAGTCACATGCTCAGCGATCGTTACCGCTACCAAACAAGTAAACAAACTTCCGCACGGCAGTGAGCCCTTATGGCTCATCATTTTTGACTAGTCGTTAAGGCAATAGTACATACAGTGATTAGCGGTTGTGGCTTCACCCCTGCACGCTGCGCGCAACAATTTTGATCAGTTTCACTCTATTTACGTATGTGGCTTAGCGCTGGATGTCTGCTGCAGAGTCACCGATGTTATTGATTAGCCGTCGATCTAACGATGACTGATTTTGTGGAAGGCTGCACGCAGAGGTGGAGTTGCAGTCGTTAACGACTGCAGCAAAAGCACAGTCCGCAACATGCAATTCAATCTGGGCTCTGTCAGAGACCCGCTTGCCTATCTAGGTACGAAAAGCACTAACAAAGCTCATATCAAAGTATAGGGTGTGAGAAAGATATTTCGATGAGTATGCAGTAGTCAGCTATGAAAAAACACCTACTAATTGCACGTGCAAAATGTATGATGTGTTCGGACACTACAGGCTGTATTATCCGTTTTCTGTACCATTTGGTCTACGTCCACATATGTACGTATTTAACGTAATTGGGGTGCAGTTAGAGGGATTGCGGCGCAGCGTTTCGGGTCACACCCTTCGTTCGGCTTACTGGCTGTAAGCGTAATCAAGAGTGTTAGCATCTAGGACCATGTAGTAGTAGAATCTCTAACATAATTCTGAATCTTATCCAGCACTCCTATGATTCTGCAGAGTCCTAATGCTAAGCCTAATAGAGTTTAGTTTTGGAATTGGGGGAGGCCCACTCCAGAACCGAATACCTGAGTGAGATTAATACATTTTATATCCATGTTGTTATCTAGCCCCACTAGTGGTTATATACAATAAGAGTAACAACTTGTATGTATGAAAATGGTGCGAAGTTATATAATGTCTAAAGTTGAATATTTGGATTAATTTTGAAACGAAATTTGGCTGTTATCCCTGAAGTCCTGCAATTTCAATCCTCTCACTTTAGCCATAGCATCCTGGACCACTTCATCAATCTTGGCATTTAGACTGCACGAGTGAACCTCAAACTTCTCATGGTCGTATCCTCTGTAGTAGTCGTAACAGTCGCTTTTGACCCACCATTTCGTATTCTCTGCCATTCCACTCCTATTGCATATCTCATTGAGGCTAATTCCCATAAAAGGATTCTCTGGCTGGGGTAAAAGACAGCCCCACCTCTCCATATATTTCATCAACGCACCAAAGAGAAAAGCTCCACACTGAAACGAGTGAGATGGGTTATGGGGGCAGGAATAGTTGAAGTCTCGATAGACCCTAAGTAAGCGGTGCAATTCAGAGATAACGTGCTCAAGGGCATTACATCGAATGCGGTCGATACTAGCTGATCAGAGTTAGCAATTGGAACCTGGATCGAGGCAGGTCAAGACTATACATGTAATCCCCTGGTGGATCGGCAAATCTAGGGTTTGAATCCAGCCCTTACTCTCTTTGATCGCCACAGCCGTCGCTTTCTCAAATTCTTTGCACATGCAGAACACTCGAGAGATGCAGATCCACAACATGAGGTCGCGGCAATAAGAAGATGGAATCGCGACATTACGCCTCACACTAGCAATCCAGTTCTTGGTATCACGCTCGATAGCCTCTGCGTTTTCGAGCTCGTAGTAATCGACAAGAACTGCGATCTTTGCGAGCATCTCCAAGCTTACAATAGCCGGAACTTGGCGTGTTCGGACGTGGAAAATGTTGAGAAGAATGAGGAGAGCTTTTTCGTCCCAATCGTTGGCTTGGATGTGGTACCGTCCGTCTGATGGATTTTTCGAAGATTCAGCGAACTCTTTTCTTGTTAATGTGCGCCTAAACCATGGTGAAGCTAGCATTAAGTGGCGGGATGAGACGAGATAGTGAATCTCATCATCTTCCGACTGGGTCGGCCCTGAGGCGGGCTCGGCTAGTTGAACGCTCGGGTTCTCTACCCCACCAACCACTCTTGTTGCTAATTCCCGATCTTGAATAAGACCTTGCTCTTCAGGCAGTGCTTCACTGGAAAGCTCGGCGTGCTCGCCATTGCCCTCTGGAACGTTCGGGAGAATGCTATTGCGGGAGGCTCTAGCGCGCATCCGGGCTTTGTTCTCCTTCTTTGACAGCTTCTTGCTCGTCCGATCTTCCTCGAACGCCTGAGCATGTATGGGCTGTTTCTCTTCCGGCTCGGGGAACTCAATTTGAGCGGGTACGAGCGTCTCGTCCCACGGGGCGAAGTTTTTGCAAGGATTTTTAAGGATAATAATTGTATCTGCAAACGGATCAATCTCATGTGTAAACAACAACATGATAGTGGTTGATTGATGTGATAGCGGACATGACATGTAGGCATAATTTGTATGACATATAATCAGGCTGTGCGTTGGCGCACTCTTGGAGCAGTTCGGCTGCTTATTCTACGCCTTGGCAGGTGGCTTGCAGCAGGAGATGTCATCATTCTGGGATCTTGGCTACGATTGGACAAACGCGTTTCACCGGTTTGCGGGGATCACGATAAGCTAACGCTATCTTGACTGCTCAGATCCTTAACCATTTGACCTATGAGGTTTATGCACGTGGCCACCATCATATATTTTCAGATGCGAAAAGGCTAAAGTTTGGCAATTAGTGCGGCTAGCGCCAACGGTTTGTGAACAGTCTGAACTTGTCGTTACCCTCAAAGATCAAACCTGAGTATTTTTGCGTGCCGCTCTATCTCTGAACAAGAGACTGGAACTGCTCAACACAGTTTTAATAAGTTTTCACCGCGCCCTACAGTCCATATAGAAGAATCGATTTAATTCCAATTCCACTACTCGTCAAGGGACAAGATAAATACAATGTCGAAGTCTGAATCCACTGAGAAAACAGAGCCGCACCTGAACCTTCTCACCAAAAAGATTGCTATTGACTGCGAGATGATGCGTTCCAACATCGGTTAGGTCCTCGGCCGTGTTTCTGTCGTCAACTACGACGGCAAAACTATACTTGACAGTCTTGTATACTACCCCGAGCCTGTCCATATCATAGACACCGACGAGAGGTTTTCTAGAATTCGCTGGGCCGATATCAATCCGCAGAATAGCGTTAAATCTTTTTCAATATCGTGGCCGATCACAATCCTGTCACGAAGAAGCTCGCCCAGTTGAGCCTGAACTTCAGAAAAAGGACTGAGGGTCCTCACTTTGGATTTGGCTGCTCGCGTCTTGCAGCTTCAAGGCATTGCTCGTTCAGCCACTTGTCACAAGTTCGACATGTCGGTCCGCGATACACAAAAGTATAGTGGGTACCGCAAATACGCCAACCCCGGTGCCCACCAAGGCCCTAATCTCAAGAATCTAGCGCTGAGGGTTTTAGGCCGCTCAATCAAGCAGGGCCCTGTGTCGAGTATAGAAGATGCTGTTGCCACTATGGAGATATATCGCAAGGCTGAGGTGGAAATTGATCGGGAACCAGAGTAGTAGGATTTTGGCTCCTGAAATACCTACGGAATAGGCTTGCACGTGCAATATGATCTATACAAAACTTCCAAAGATAGGGATAGAAGATAGGGTCCCGATAGCATGTACGAGCTCGTACCGCAGTTGAAGTCGAAGGCCAATGGGAACCCGTACACCAGGCTGCAGCAACACGAGTTGCTTGACGCTGCATTGCGAGGAATGATCAATTCTTGGGTCTTTTCAACTTCTGTGAAGCCCGAGTGGCAAGCGACGACGTTCTTTTGGCTTCCTGCGAACAGGCTAGGATGATTTTGTCTAGCGAAGATGGTCTTAGGCGATGATTTAGTAGAGAAGGATAACAGGATGAGAAGGAAGGCTGTAGCATCTCGTAAATAATTATTGGATTATAAGGCCTTAAAGGTTGACGCTACAAACACGCGGGAGACTTCGCTGGAAGTGCTGCGTCACGTAAGCAGTTACGGCAGATGAGGTGAGGTAAAAAACAGTCTTCTCTAAATTTTTATGTAGATAGTCTTTATCTCCTCTTTATACATTTTGAATACAGTCGTTAGCGATTGCGGCTTCACCTCTGCGTGCAACATTCAACAATATCAGTCATCGTTAGATCGATGACTGACCAATCACATCGACTATTCCGTAGCAGACATTTAGCGCTAAGTCATATACGGAGGGTGAGACAGTTCAAAACAGTTGCGCAGCTGTGCGCAAGGGTGAAGCCGCAATCGCTAGCAACTGTACACTCTCATGCACTTGCAGCTTCCGCTTTGCGCACATAGTTATCCCACACGGGACACGGACCCGCCTGGTGTACGCTTGTCTAAAAAGAGTTAAACCATGTAAATATGATGCGTTGATTGGTCTGACAGAAACTACTACTATTTGGGCAAAATTATCACTAAGCGACAGAGGCTTAGCATGGGATCAGAGGTCGCCTAATTACAAGATGTGGTGAAATTGGCCCGGTTAGGTCCTTAGGAATGGATCCCCAGAAATACGGAAGAACAAGCTCAATGGCTGCGAAAGCCTAAGTCACCGATTGACACCATGGCTTAGGATATGCAGTTCATTGTAGATCCAACGTAGCATTAACCAAAAAGGCTTTAGCGTGATGGCTTCGGTTATGGCTGGCTTCAGGGTGCGGGTGGTTTAAATTGTGGATAACTAAAATATGCAGAAGCTCTAAACCCCATCACAGCTGAGAGGTCTATCTAATCGCTTTCTCATAACCCGTCACAAGGGGGCTGATCTCCTGCTGTCTTTTCCACATTGAGCGATTCGCACTGTATCACGCAGGTAGCGGCTCAGAGGTTACTATTACCTTGACATTAGCAAGTGCAAACTCTAACATGCAGCAAGCGAGCATGTTCTTATTAGTAAGAATGGTCCTACGTAGTTCTCCTTGCAGTCAAGATTGCGTCTACTACTAGTCTAAACGAGCATCCGCTCTCATATCACCTACCGCACACGCATTCAGCTCGCCACGATGTGTCAATTCAATATATATTCCCATTCTCGTATAGTACGTTTGTTTAGCGATTGTGTCTAGCGACGTTTAGTAACTTAAATACGCCACAATAAGACCCCTGTGTAGCAGTCGCTACGACACTAGAGGCGGAGAAACGGGAGTACACTCTCATGCACTTGCAGCTTCCGGTTTCTGTAAGCAGGCGACTTTTGATCCCATGCTAAGCCTCTCTCGTTTTACCTGAATAGTGCTAGCTCTTGTCAGCAATGCCATGGGTGAATCTTCTCCTCGATACTCCGGCCAATCAAACGGAGATATCTATGGAGTTTAAGCCTCTTCCGAGCAGGCGTATACTTGGAGAATTCACACACACACCAACTTTCGAAAATCTCAGAAAGCTCTCAAAATCTCGCGTCTAAGGCAACCGCCTACTGCGATTCTTTTGCAACTACTCTGACGTTCTAGATCCCTCGCGCTGTCGAGATATCTAGAGTTGAAAGAGAAAGTGCGCTGATTATACGTGTCCTATACACGCCTATCACCAACGTCAAGTTTTCTAGAATAGGTGTAATTTTTGTTAAATATATACAAATCCCTTACAAGAAACTAATTACAGCAAGTTTTAAGACGTGCAGCGTGCGCGCTGTGGAGCTATAAGCTATAAGAGCAGACAGTTAGGACACGTCTCACACTACAAAAACAAAAACACACAGACCA